AAAAAATATTTAGTAGCTAAAAGTCAACAATTGGTGACTAAAATTTAGTTTAGTCGCCCAAAGTGGAGGGTTTTGGCGACTAAAATTCAGTTTAGTCGCCAAAAGTGAAGGTTTTAGGCGGGAATTAATTCTTTTAGCAACAAAAAAGTAATTAGTAGCCAAAAAGGATAGAATTGGTGACTAAAAAACACCTTTAGTCACCAAAAGTGGTCTCCTATTTTTTTTAGTAAATAATTTATTTTTTACATAAATTATATTAAATAAAAATAATTATTTTTATATAGTTTTGTATTAATACCGGTCAATATACTATATAAATAATAAATATTGCATTTATATTCACGTGATGTTGTAGTGGCATAGTGGGGAGAGTGTGTTGCTAAATGTTTAGAATGTGGGAGGTTGGTGGTTCGAAACTTGGGAACAGCAGAGGGTAATTTTTTTTTTCCTGAACTACGCTTTTGGCGACTAAAATGGAATTAGTCGCCAAAAGCTTGACTATTGGCTGTTGGAGACGAAAAAAATAGTCGGCAAATGTATAAATAATAAAAAAAATAATTCACTATTGGCGACTAAAAGATTAGTCACTACATGTATAATTTTCAAAAATGTAATTGACTATTGGCGACAAAAGCTTTGGTCGCTAAAGACTTATTTTTTGCCGACTAAAACTTTTTTAGTCGCCAATACCTCCGACAACCATGTATTCGCGACAAAACCGGCGACTAAAATATTTAGTCGGGGAAAGTGAAAAGTCGACTTTTGGTGACTAAAAATAGACTTTTGGCAACTAAAAATTTAGTCGCCAAAGGTGCTTTTTCTTGCAGTGCCTATCGTTCTATAAAAATGTTGCTTGAATTCTTATATATAATAACTTTCGTTAAATTATTTGTGGATTTTGATTACTTTAATTCTATCATGCTATAAAAGTGTAATTATCATATAATAATTTTATATGTTGTATATTAAATTATAAGATTGTAAAATAAACACAAATTTTGATATTAAAAATAAATTAGAAGGAGAATTAGTAATATAAAATTAAAGTGATTCTAAATATTTAATTTTTTTATATTTATTTGAAAAATAATAATATGTAGAAATAGAAGTTACACAAAATTTATTTAAAATATTAAACATAAATATTTTATAATTGGATTAAGAAGAAAATACATAAATTAATATGTAGAGTATTGATTTTTTCTTTAATATTTTTTTTTTTGAATTATTCATATGCATTGTATATATAGGTGTATGAAATTTAAATTAAATATAAATGTTCCGTAATAAATAATTTCATGTTAATAGCAAACTCAATATAAATTAATATTAAGATATTAGTAACAAGGTAGACAAAAAAGTAAAAATATCTTCAATATTTAATAGAAGAAAATTATTTCTTATTAATTCTACAGGTAGTTCAGACTAAATAGAATTCTTTTACATAGATTTTATCACTAACAGTATAAAAAATTAAGATTTTAGAGACAAATTTTTAGGGACAAATAATTTGTCTACAAAAATTATACTTTTAAGGACGAAATGAAGGAATTTTAAAAATATATATATATTTAATTATGTTGTTACATTTTTTAGACAAGTTTATTTGGCTGTAAAATGATCAATCACTTTTACGTACAATTTTAGTTACATTATTTTATTTATATATTGATTTTCAAACTCAATAGTGGGGACTATCTAAAAACAAAAACAAAAAAAAGCATCCAGGTTCTATATTTTATCACTCACTCTCTCTCTCTCTCTCTCTCAAATCCCTAATTTCTTTTTCTCTCACAAATGCGATGGTTATTTTCTACGAATCTCGTTGATTGTTTCTGATCTCGGCAACAATTTCATCCCTAAGGAGTCTCATAACATCTCTCTCAACTGTGATTTCAGCATTCAGGTTCAATCGATTAATCAATTCAGTCTCATAGATTTGGTTTTTTGATCTATTTGTTCGTATTTATTCTTCGAAAATGCTTATTTCTTGGTGTAATGTTTGTGTTGATGATGCATTATCATAATATGATTCACTTTTAATTTGTGTTTGTGAGTGTTAGATTCCTTTAGGCCATGTTTGATTCACAAGACTAATAGTGAGATATTAATATTCCTATCAAATTAGTTTGGTATTCAGTATCCAATTGGATTAATAGGATAAATTATCTATTGGATTAATAATCTCACCCCTACCCTATTACTAATAATCCTACAAATTTGTTGGATTAATTATCTATTGGATTAATAATTCTAAACCAAAATGTTGAAGTAAACATAAGATAATTGGGCCTACGGATTAATAATCTCAGTCCCATGCTCTAATCCATGCAATCAAACATGCCCTTAGAGTATTATCATAACGCTCTGTGATTTTGCTAAGCAGAACAAGCGAGGTAACAACTTTGTTCTTTTTCATATCTTCTCCATTAGGTTCTAGCAATCTTCTATTTTTAGTTTGGTAGAGATCAATGACACTAGTAAAAATTTAAAGGCAATGAGAAGTAGCTGAATTTTTTTATTTTTTATTTGGACAAAGTATATGGAACTATTGTGTAAATTTGACTTTAACACCAGCCATTTAAGTAATTTTTCCTCTGTGTGTGTGTGTGTGTGTGTGTGTGTTTTTTTTCTTTTTTTAATGGTTGTAAAAGTATGTTTGATTAGAGCATTTACATAACAAGCAGATGTCATAAGAAAAAAAATAAAATGAGTGATTACCAAACTTGGGATGATAAGTGAAGCCTTTTGTTCACCACAAAACAATGAATGATTTGGCTCTCATTGAAAGCATAATTGGAAATTGAATAAGAAACAGATAACGGATTTTTGCTCCTATAAACTAGCCTTCCAAATTATCGTGGTCCATTAATTGGAGCACAAACAGATAGAAAGCATTGAATCACCACAGGTGAAACAAAGATTGCCAGTTCACTTGAGTCGTAGGCCTTTATTATGGTTAACAAACTTTCCCTTTCTTCTCCAGTTCTAATAGGACGGTTGCAGTAGTAGAATATATGAATATTAATGCAAAATGAAGACAAGAAAATGCTTTCCCTTTCTTGATAAGTTTGATTTGGACATACCTACTCTATGATATTAGTCGTTGAGTTTCATGGCCAATCAATGGAAATATATGAATATTAATGCAGAAGGAAGACAAGAAAAAATCAACATGCTTTTCAAATTCATAATTGGGCAAAAATCTCAGTGAATATTATTTTTCGTGTATGTATATAATAAGAATGTGCTTGTTTATGATATGAGACTTTGAAGAATCGAAAAAAGTTTCGTTTTGATAACTAACAGTGAAAGTACTTTTTGTTTTAAGTATTTTAAAGGTTATTAGTTGAAGGTTATTATTATATAATTATATGTAATGCTTTAATGGAAGATTTTGTGTTCTTGTTTAAATGCTCTCTATTTTCTACTCTATTAATCATACTGGGTTCCTTTCCATGCATCTCTCTCTCTCTCTCTCATGTTAGTTGATTCATTTAGTTTAATTGAGGCTTAAAAATCAATTTATTAACTTAAAATTTGAGTAATGTTACAATGATCATTTAGTTTTTTCGTGGTATTTTATCATTTGATGTGTTAATTCAATTTTGATCAAAAGAATTAATTTTATAGTTGATATGGTTGTGTTGATTAATATAGAATTTTATTTTGCTGTTGATAATTTAAAAAAACCATTGTGAGAAAAAAGAAATTAAAATTGCAAAACTCATTTCTTGATACATCTCTTTTATATTTGAGTATAATACTACATGGTTTGGGTGTTTGTGTAAGGAAGTAGGAAGTAGCTTTTTGAGTTGACTTTTGTGTTCAGAAAAGCTGTGTATGAAGAATTTGTAGAATCCCTATATTGATGCTTAATTTGATGCTTCTTTTGCTTTGATGATATGGTCTGATCTATTCTTGATTTGTTTGATTTGATTATATTTGTGTTATTTGGAAATATAGATGCCAATTCGATTGATTGCATTGTTAAATTTATTTTGATTCGCTTGTTTTATTAGAGTCGAAAATTCTAGCATCATATTTCCTATTTTTAGTGAATTCTATTTTTTAAGCTTTTTCTTTCTTCCTTTTTTTTTTCCTCTCTCTCCCCCTCTCTCTCTCTCTCTCTCTCTCTCTCTTTCTTCTTTAGTTCTTTTGCACCATGGATAGGAGTTGGATGCAACTTCATGATAGAAGGTCACCTCAGTACATTGATGGGGTGAGGGAATTTATCTTGTTTGCCCGTGATCATATGAAACCAGGGGCAGATAAGATTGGTGTCCATGTTATAGATGCAACAACCATATTCAAAAAACCATGAGGAAGTTGAAATTCATTTGTATGCATATGGGGTGGTTACGAGTTACACTAGGTGGGTGTGTCATGGGGAAGGTTTTCAGTTGAATAACAATGATGACTCACAAAATGAAAAGGACGAATATCTTGTCCTTCATGTAATGAGGATGCATTTCACCAATACTTTCATCATTGGAAGAAAACTTGTTACACAAGACATCGTCGTTTTTTGCCATATAATCATGTTTTACGAAAAAGCAAGGCATTCAATGGTGAGCCAGAGCGTACATCGGAACCCAAGTTGTTGTCTGGGGAGGAGGTTTTGGGACAATTGGAGCATCTTGACTCGACAGTATTTGGGAAGATAAATGAACGTGGAAAGAAGCGAAAACGTTCTCCTCAATATTTAAATTGGACAAGGAAAAGCATCTTCTTTGAGTTACTTTATTGGAAAACCCTTCTCCACAACCTCGATGTTATGCACATTGAAAAGAATGTATGCGATAGTGTGATGGGAACATTGATAAACGTTGACGAAAAAACTAAGGACTCATACAAGGCTCGTCTTGATCTAGTGGCTATGGGTATAAGGCCTAAATTACACCTAAGGCAAGTAGATGGAAAAGCTTTCCTACCCGCTCCTCGCTTCACGCTCTCTCCAACTGAAAAAAGGAGTTTTTGTGAATTCTTGAGTATAGTTAAATTGTCAGATGGCTATACATCAAACATATCACACTGTGTGAGCACTAGTGATTGTCGAATTACAAGGTTGAAAAGCCATGATTGCCATGTTATCTTGCAAAGATTGCTTCCTGTTGCCCTACGTGGATGTTTGAAAAAGGATGTCAGCAAGGCTTTAATTGAGCTTTGCTTGTTTTTAAGGAGTTATTGGCAAAAATATTGAGAGTTGATGTCTTAGAACAACTTGAGAAAGATATTGTTTTAATTTTGTACAAGCTTGAGAAGATATTTCCACCATGTTTTATCGATATTATGATCCATTTATGCATACACTTATCACGTGAAGCAATCCTTATAGGACCGGTGCAATACCGGTGGATGTATGCATTTGAGAGGTACATGCATATTCTTAAGGGCTATGTGTGTAACAAAGCCCGTCCAGAAGGCTCTATTGCTGAAGGTTACATTGATAATGAGGCTCTTACCTTTTGCTCTATGTACTTCAACGAAGGTGAGACAAAATTTAATAGACCAGAGTGGAATTATGATGGGCCTATTAAAACTACACAAGATGGAAATATTTTTGTAATTAAGCAAAAAGTACGTGGAATAGGAGCTGCAGTTAATGATGTGTTGAATTTAAAAGATTTGAAGAAAGCTCGATGGTATGTGTTGAATAATTGTGATAAAGTTCAACCGTATGTGAGGTAAGTAAACCACCATATGACTATATTCACTAGAAAAATTTTCTTTTTGAATTTTACTACTTTCACAACTATATGTGTCAAATAATGTTGTGTAATAATTTATAGGCAATACATGGATGAACTTGAGAGACAAGGTTTGAGGAATGTTCAAGAGAGGCTAGAATCAGAGTTCCATACATGGTTTCAAAAATACGTAAGAGCTATAAATTTTTAACCTTATTTGTGCATTTAAATAATGTAGTTAAGTATATGCTATAAATTTTAGGTCACAAAGCAACAACTTGAAGGGACTATGGATGCTTCCAATCAACTTATGAACCTAGCCCGAGGTCCTGATAATCGAGTGACACGATACAGTGGTTGCATTATCAATGGGACCAAATTTTACACTCAAGATCGTGACATGAACCGAAAAACTCAAAATAGTGGTGTGGTTGTTAAGAATGACCATAAAGGAGAAGCTTGGGCAACAATTATCGAGTTGTACAAAGAATAATACCTCGGGCAATATATGACATTCTAGTGAAAATGGATGAAGAGGAAGAGAAAGACGAAGAGGAAGAAAAAGACAAAGACGAAGATGAACCATACCAAGAATTTGAATCATTTGGTCTTGGAAATGCAGTGCACATGGATGATCAACCCACATAATTATGCAAAGAAGACATGGAAATGATATGTGTTGATATTGATGGCAAATTCCATGAGGAGAAACTTGAAGATGATGAAGTCAATGATGATATGATGATATGAGTCAATGTTGATATTGATATTAACATGATACTTTTTCATTGTTTCTAGTAGGCACATCCAAGGGTAAGAGAGGACGTGGGAAGTCATGAAGCCTCAAATTGGCCAAGCTAAAAAATCAAGGGGTGTGACTGCCTATTCAGATTTGCAAGGTTAGTGGACGATCATATGCTGAAGTATTTGAAAAATTTACCAGTGAATTAGAGATTGATACTAGGCAATTTTCCCCACAAAATGTGCCATCATGGGCCGATATTATGGACCGATATTAGTGAAGAGTATAAAGAAACATTGATTGCATACCTTCAAGTAAGTGGTACATTCTGCTGGAAGTTTCAATTTTTGTTTGTTATGGTTTAACAATGCATAATTTTGTAATCTTGGACTCATTTTTTGTCAATATAACAGTGCCTTTTCAATATAACAATACATAACAGTGCATAATTTAACAATGCCTATTCAATATAACAGTGCATAATTTAACAGTGCCTATTCAATATAATAGTGCATAATTTAACAGTGCCTATCCAATGAACCCTATGCTATTGAATCTATCCTCAAATTGATGCACGATTGATATAAGAACTATTACCATGACCTACGGCAACGCTTTAGAAGTTTTCCTACAACAGAATCTGCCCTTGCGGATCCACTTGAAAATATGGAAAAAGAGGTGTGGAGGTTCTTGTGTGGAAAGTGGTCTCACATGGACTATATGGTAACTTTGTAATCTTTGGCTCATTTTTGTCAATATAAAACCCTTCTAAATGCCAAATTACAATTATCTGAGTTGACTCTCCTCTTATAAAACTCACTCAAAGAACTTTCCTTACGTTGTGATAATCTGAATAGACTTGAGAATTCCTTTACCTTGTACTGTGACTTATGCATTTAATAATAGGTGAGATGTGGCAAGAATAAGTTGAATCGAGAGAAGTTGAAAGTCCTCCACACTGTTGGCTTAAAGGCCATTAGAAAAGTGCAATATGATGATGTATTAATTATAGAATCTATAATTTATGTTTTGCAATTGTAATTGAACAGTGTAATCTATATTGATGTTTAATATGTGCTATAAATGGCACAGCGAGACTGTGCCACTGAAGAGGAACTTGGATTTGTTGAGTTGTACAAAAAGACGCATTTAGTGAGAAAAAAAGTCATGGATGCATGTTGATGCTGAGATTAGACATGTAAGATATCAATCTTTATGTACTTTCATTCCTTATATCCTTCATAAAATGTGGATGGATACTTAGTTTTATCTCAACTAATGAATATTGTAGTACAAGCTTAAAAAGCGGCAGGACAAAGCTATTGAAGATGGATCTGGCCCGCTATCCGATAAGCAACTTTCTATTGAGGTATTTGGACAAAAAGCTGGCTACAGACGAGGCTTAGGTCGTGGTTGAAAACCAAGTACAACATTATCTGGAAAACGTACCCGTGCCCAACTCAAGAGGGATAATGAGATTGCTACAAGGGTGGCTGAAGAGCAATGAAGAATCAATGAGGAGCTAGTGGAAAGAATTCAAATCTTGAAGTCCGATTGCACGGAATACAATGCCAAAGTCGATTTCTTGATGCAGCAGATCAGTTGAAGAGGACCCTCTATTGATTCTTCTTCTTAGTAAGTCATCTTTTAAGATCTACATTTGATTTCCTTTGTGCGTTTCTATACTAGTTTCATGAGTATGCACTTTGTTGAGCATAAATTCATAGCTTAGCATCAATAATTGCAGTTTACTAGTGGGACATTAAGCCTTAATTGTAAGTACTCTGCATCTCTAAGGAAACAGAATTGAATAAATTTAGGGGGAAAAATTAAAGTAGTTGATTTCTAAATTTGTTTTCTATTGCTAACTTGAAATGAAGTTCTCTGGCACTAGATCTTGTATCTGACTTCATAGATGCATGTTATGTGAATTAAAGCTATCCTTGATCACCATGTATTGGTTGTTACTATCTTGTTTTTGGAACAATGATTTTAAAAAAGAAAAAAGAAGAAAAAAAGTAGGCAAATTAAACATGAAGTTATTGACAACAAGCATGACCAAAATCATTCCAGTGTCTGTTTCTCTGCACTTGTGTTGATCTATTTTTTTCTTGAATTTCTTTCCAAATGTGATTATCTGACACTTTTCCTGGATTTGACACTTTTCCTTCCTCCAACTCCCTAGGTAGCACCCCTTTCCTTCTCTGCCTTCCCCTTAATCTAGGTTCTTTGTCTTTTTGTTTCCAAAATCTGAATAAATTTTCGTTATTGGATGTAAAAGGTAAGAGCTTTGTCTGGATAACTTGTGAATATGAGTAACCCACTTTCCTCATTCATTATTTTCTTGTATGTAATTGAAAAAAAATAGTATTTTTTAAATATGAATTATAGTTTGTTGTCTATGTGTTCTGATTTTAGTATTTAGAACCATTTAAATCAAATTTGGTTGTTGATATTTGATCAGATCATCTACAATTAGTTGTTTTTTTGTTTGGTATATGGTTTTACATTCACAATTTTTCTATGCATCTGATTTGGAATATGAGGAAAATCAATTTAATTTTTTCATTTTCTATAACAATTTTGGGTTTCTGAGAATTTTTTTGTAGAACTAGAATGCGTAGCTTCACCAAGTATTAATTCTAAGTAAGTAAATGTAACCTCTTTTCTTCTTTGATTGGCAAGAATGAGAACACAAGTGCACTGTGAAAGCTACCTACTTGGATATTACTCTATGAGATGATTTGTAGAGATTCTGTTTCTTGGAATTCTCTGATAGCTGGTTATTCTGAGAATGGGATTCTAAGAATAGGATTTTTTGTGAGGCCATTGTAATGTTTTCACAGATGCGTGATTTCTTGATACAACCTAATAAATATACTCTTGCTAGCATTTTTTTTTTTGTTGATTTTTTGGTGGTGTTGAATTTTAATTTGGAGATGAACAAATGGTTTGTAATATATTTGATATTTTTTGTTTGGTTGTTGAGCATGTCTAGTGATATGTTTGATATTTTCTGTTTGGTTGTTGAGAAATCAATAAAGGAATATAAGTTGATGTTCAAGCTAGTATTTTTAGAGTAATTGTTACAAAATAAAAAATAATAATAATAATAAAAATAAAAATTATCAAACTTTTAGAGACTAATTTTAGTTGTCTCAAAAAAATTATAGCCACCACTTTCATTTGTCCTAAAAACTAAGACTTTTAGAGACCATTTGTGTTCTGTCTCCATAACTGCTTCGTTTTCCCTGGACTGTAATTAGACTTTTAGAGACAAATTTTGGTTGTCTCAAAATCAAAACTTTTTGCAACCACGTATTTTTATCTTTAAAAGTCTATTTATAATGACAAATGTAAAATTTTGTCTCTAAAAGTCATTTTTTGTCTTTTTTGGACGGGCCATTTGGGACAAATTTCGCAACAGAGAAGATTAGTTAGCTAAAGTTTTTCCCAACAAATATTATACTTTAGAGACAAAATGAATTTGACTCTAAAAAGCCGATTTCTTGTTGTGTAATTAAGTATAAAGGGTATATTACCGTGACATTTTTAAAAAGTAGAAGAGAAAAGTGATGGATCATATAGGAGGGAAAAAAAAGAGAAATGTAACATAGAAAAAAAAAATTGAGAATAAACACTATTTTTTTATAATATATATATATCTATATAATATGGGAGAAAGGTTTTTGAAAATATCCAAAATGTGTCAGAGATACATTTGGTTTTAATGGTCTACATCTTTTTAAACAAAAAATTAACGGATTAGATTACTTTTTTTCCCGCCCATACACTTTCGACTTTCTCTCTCTCTCCTCAAAACGTTTTCCAAATCTGTTTGAAAAGCATACCACTCGCCCCAAACCCCCACTCACGCTCCTCTTTCTCTCTCAAAACAGAACCTACTCACACTTCTCTCTCCTCTCTTTTCTCACTCATCTCTCTTTTATCCTATCGCTGATGTCGACCATCGATTTCCCTCCCCAACCCTCTTCCTCCAAAGGCTACCTTTCCCAGTCGCCCTCTATCCCCTTGGAGTGTAGACCATTCAAGTTGGTCGGCGATATAGCTTCGCACGAAGAACGACTTTTGGATTCAAAAAACGAAAGAGCATCGGAGATTATTCTCAGTCCATTGCTATTCATCACCTCTCGCCACCACCTCTTGCCATCGCCGTTCCAACCCAACCATCCAGATCTGGAATGGTGGAGTAACTGAGGAAAAAAAGAATTTTCTTTTTGCTCCGGGGCTCTTCTGTAATCGACCAATACAATGACAACATTGGCTTTGGATGTTATTGAATTGAGATGGTTATATAGCTGAGACGGCAGGCGGTTTCGACGCAGAAGATAAGCCTTATAGATAAGCCAGTCTCTGGATCGATTACAATGTCTTTGGATTGGACACCAGTGTTGGAATTGGTTGAGGGAGGGACTGTTTGGTGCCTATTAATCTTTCTACTCTACCATCTCTGTATACTTGAATGAAGTGTGGAAATTCATAAACTATTTCTTCATCTTTGGTTGAAGACATGGTGAAGAAACATAGTAAGGAATGCAAAAAATAATCAATCTTTATGTATATTATTATGTATTTTATATATTCAATCATTATTTATTTTATATAATCAAATTGTGTTAATATATTATTATTTTTTTCAATAGGAATGCAAAAAATAATATGTGGAAGACAGAGCCTGCAAAGGATTGAGTGGCCACTTCTTTCCACCAACAAATCGCTTGGGCTGCTAATGGTATTTATTATTTATTTTTTAGTATCAAATGCATCTCAGATTGTTTATTTTTAATTTTTTAATCTTTATATAAATTCTATAATTATTTACGAAAAAAACAAAGAAAAACTTATGGGACATCTCATCTGCTTCTGACTGTACGTATTTTATCAATGTTTTGTTTACTTTTTTTTTTCCCGCCCATACACTTTCGACTTTCTCTCTCTCTCTCCTCAAAACGTTTTCCAAATCTGTTTGAAAAACATACCACTCGCCCCAAGCCCCCACTCACGCTCCTCTTTCTCTCTCAAAACAGAACCTACTCACGCCTCTGTCTCCTCTCTCTTCTCACTCATCTCTCTTCTCACTCATCTCTCTTTTATCCTATCGCTGATGTCGACCACCGATTTCCCTCCCCAACCCTCTTCCTCCAAAGGCTACCTTTCCCAGTCGC